TCCTTCGCTTGTGTCAGATCGGTACTTATTTTTATGGGGCGCGGGCGAGTTTCGATGGTCGGTGTACGGAGCAAGATAAAAAATATATGGGCGACGGAAGACGGATGCGGAGGAGGGTCAGAGGTGCCGATGTGGACGGTGAAGCGCTTGGCTGGCGATGGGAGTTACAGCTGCAGGAGACCAGAACGAAGGATGAGATCATAAGATGGGGATGGTTATTATTAAGATGGAGATTTGTTGGAGATGCGCGAAGACGGGCCAAAATGTTAAAAAAATGCGGATGATAAGGAGGAGGATGTGTCTTTTTTTTTTTCATGTGCAATCGGCCATGGATAGCCGATAGCCGGAGAGAAGATGAAGCCAGCTAAGACGTGATGGGCAGGCAGTTGGAGTCTATCTTGTTTGGCTCGACGGCGTTGGATGTTTGGATGGAGCGGTGGAAGAGCTCTACTTACTCCGTACTTGAGAGTACTCTATCTCACTATGGAGTCCTCCTCTATCTCAGGAGACAGCAGAGACTCTTTGTGATGGTAAAATGCCGCATCGCAGGTCTCTCTCCCTTGTATAAAGACAGGACTGAAGCCTTCTTCTCCTTCTCTTCTTTTGGACTACTTGAAAACTTCTAACTACTCTGTTATGGTAGAGTGGATGAGCTGGGAGCTGATGGAGTCGACGGATGGTGGATATAAATATCAAAGACACTTCACAGCTTGACGACTCACAACTCACGATTCACGACTCCACGATTACTGTTGGCCCCCAACTTACGCAGAGTATCCAGAACGATGATGAGCGAGCAGTCAGAAGCAGGAAAATTCTGCTTACGGAGTCCCTGCAGCCGCCCTGCCTCCTCCCTTGTCCCTTGCTCGCATCGCACAGCCAGTCAGTTTCTATTCTTGCTCCCTCTCGATCCACCGCGGCGCTAACTCAAGCATAGCCAGTAGTGTAGTTCCCCCATCTACTCTGGGCTGGATAGCAACAATAAAATAACGGATAATGCAAAACTTGGCTCTTGACTTGTGAATCTCGAGTAGAGCCTCGCTTCGGACGAGATGTCCCCTTTCTTGCTGTCGCTCCGTACCGTCTCCTCCTGGGGCGGCCGAGGGAAAAAGGAGCACGCCTAGCAGCAGCAACAACTTCAAAAAAGGACCAGACCAGGCGGAAGAAGCAAAGTTAGTCTGCTATCGGGGCGCTTCGACGATGATCTGACCTGGCGAATAGGAAGCAGAGATGCCGCTGCGGAGGCCTGTGATGGTGAGTTGCGATGCTGCAGCTTCGCCTGTGCCAGTCACATCCGTATCCATGCAGCAGGCGAATCAGAGGCTCAGGATGGCCTTTGACGGGAGACAGGGATGCGAGCCAGAGCCATAGGAAGTTGAAGGAAGGACAAGCAGAGCAGAGGCCGCAGGTCGAAAAAGCGCAGAGAGAGAAAGAGAGAGAGAGAGACCGAGAGATCGAGAGACGAGAGTCGCTGCTGGTCAAAGGCTGACAGGGGCGAGTCTTCTATCACATCGTTTAACCGCCCAACATTCCCAGCCAGACGGTTAGGCCGGTGCTATTGGCTGTGCTCGACTGGCAAAGGGGACTTCTCTTCGCTGCTGTTTGCTGGTAGATGGCCTGCGATCCCTGTCGCAAGTCACCTCTTTGCTTCTCGCCGCCCCCAGAGAGAGAGAGAGAAAGAAAGCAGGACGGCCCTTGAGAGTGCTGACCGTGCCGCTGCGACCGCCTGCATGACCCTGAGCCCCCTCCCCCCCCCCAGAAAGAAGTTGACCTCTTCTTTATTTAACTACTTTGCTTCTTCATCTCGACTGAGGCCGGCGGCTAGACAGACTGCTATACAACCATCTCTCCTCCTCGTCGTCGTCATTGTTCGTCGTTGTCGTTATCAAACTCCACTCTTTCAACCGTCCATATCAAAAAGACGACAGACACTCATCATGAGGACGCACTTCTCGCTAGGACCCTTCATTGGAGTCTTCCTGACTCTCGCCTTTGCGACCCTCGCTGCAAAGGGACACACGGTCATCGTCTACCCGGGATGGAGAGAGAACAACCTGCACAGCAACGGCACCGTCGACGAGACCAACGGCGCCGGCGTGGCCATCAGATCAAACACCTCTGAGCTTCTATATCCATACGGCATGCAATGGATCTACCCATGTACGCATGCATTCCTTCCTGTTCCTACAACTTAATCAGAACGTCCAGAAACTAACAGACAACAACCTCCAGGCGGCGGCACAGTAACCAGCACGAACAGGACGAAATGGCCCATCAATGGCGGTGCCATCTCCTTCCAGCCAGGATGGTTCCCCGGCCACAAGACTGCGCTCATCTACATCAACCTGGGCATGGGCACTACTCCCCTCAACATGAGTCTGCCCATGGTCCCGCCCTTCCAGATAACCGGTCCAACCGTTGCCCCGTACCCAGGCACCTTTTGCCTCCCCCAGGTTCCACTCCCGGCCAACATCAGCGTTAAAGCAGGCGACAACGCTACCATCCAGGTCGTCGAGGCTGCCCGTCACGGCGCAGTCTTATACAACGTGAGACAACTCTAAATGAGTACATAGCTCTTTTTTTTTTTACTTTGCTTTTGCTAACAGCTGCAGTGCGTCGACATCACCTTCGCTGAACCAAGTGAGGTCGAGCCAGTGACGAGAGATAACTGCTTCAACTCGACCAACATCACCTCCAGCACCATCTACGCCATCCCCGACAAGCCTACCAACGCAGCCCATGTCACTGCCGTCTTTACCGCGCTGGGAGTAATGCCTCTCCTTCTTGCCGGCTATTACTTTAGCATCATGCTGTAACGCAGACAGCCAGCCTCCCTGAGTAGTGAAAAGAAGAAAGAAAAAAAAGAATGTCCCTTATGCGACGGAGTTGTTGATTCCTCTCTCTCTCTCTCTTTCTTTTTTTTTTTCTTTCAATTGATGTTTGTTGTATTTTATACCCCCTTTCCAGCCTCTTAGTTACTGTTTTTTCCTTGCTTTCCGTCTGGTTTGGCATCTCATCTGGATATCCTTGCTTGTTTTCCCGGGTCGATTAACGCCGGCATCATGAAGCTATATAATGCATTGGATGGCTTTTGCAGTCATATATGATCGATTCTTATTGACGATTACTGATTATTACTGATTATTATTGATTGATATTATGGTCGGTCTATGGTTATTAGATGGTATATCCTTCTCTAACTTGGGGGCCCTTCTGCCAAATTACTTCTATTACTGCCAATGTATGAACGCCGCAAGAGCATCAACCACTTCCTGCGGCTTCTCCTGCGCCAGCCAATGTCCCGCGTCGTCGACTATGACTTCGCAGAAATCCTCGCATACGTTGTTGGCCAGCTTCTCGATCGCGCCTGGAACCTGGTACGTGCCCCAGTCCCTTGCGCCGCCAATATACAGACACGGACAGTCGATCTTCCGGCCAGCAAAGATGTCCAGGTCTCGTTTGAAGTCGGGACAGGAGCTCGTGGCCACGCGGTACCAGTTCAGCCCGCCCTGGAAGCCCGTACGCCCAAACTCGTCGACGTACACTGCCAGCTCCTCGTCCGGCAGCCAGCTCCGCGACTCCTGCACGGGCAGCGGTGTGTCCAGAGCCACGCTGAAGGCCACGGCTTCCGGCATGGAGGCATACAGGGGCATGACGTAGTAATCCGGCATCTTCGCGAGCTCCGCGGCCGTCCAGGCCTGAAGCTCAACCGGCTTGTTGAGCAACCAGGTAGCGCTCTTGAGGTAGAAGTATCCGCGCAGGAACTCATGCAAGCCCTGGGCCGGTCGCACCATATCACCGTTCGCCTGCCGCGTAGAGTAGTACCACTTGTAATGTTTCCTGTTCAACGCAGCCAGCTCCCGGTGTATATGATCATCGTCACCGCCGCCCTCGACCTCTCCCGAAAGCTCGCGCGCGCCGACAAACGGATGGTTCATGAAGGCCACGCGCTTGAAGAAATCGGGTCTCGCGAGAGCGCTGTACCCTGCCACCACGGCCCCGAAGTCATGTCCAACAATGCACTCGACGCTCTTATACCCCAGCGCATGCACCAGCACCACCATGTCCCGCACGAGGTTCGTCACGGCAAAGTCTCTTAGGTCGACGTTGTCATAGTCTCGCGTGTCCCAGCCCGTCGTCCGTCCGAAGCCTCGCTGGTCCGGCGCAACCACATAGTACCCTCCGGACGCCAGTAGCGGCATCACCTTGCGCCACGAGTACGCCAGCTCCGGGAAGCCGTGAAGCAGCAGTATCAGCGGCCGGTCGTGTGCAGCCGAGTACCCTGCCTCGAGTATATGGAATGATATTCCGAGCGGCGCCGTGTCGATCTGTCTGGAGGTCACGCCTTCTGGCAGCGGGAGCGGAGGAAGCTGGAGGGCCATTGCGGGGTCTCTCTCTCTAACTCTCTCTCTCTTTTCTGTTCTTTGCGTGTTGCGTCTCTCTGTGTATGCGTCTGATCAATATGTAGAATGTAGATATGCGTAGTTGCGGCGGGTTTGGTATCAGGTCTTCACGGTAGTCCGACTGTCTTCCACGTTCAGATATATCATAATTCTATCGGCGAAGTTCCGGCCTGCGAGTCAGCTTTCTTCGTATCTACACGCTCAGATAGCACACTTGCGCTGCGACTTGGTTCTCCTGCTGCATCCTGGCCTGCTATGCCTGAGCTGAGCCATGGGTGGCATGGTGGTGCAAGCAAAAAACGGGCGAAAAGCGCACAAGGCCGGAGGTTAGAAAAGCTACCAACCAGGTTCTACCCGCGGGTCTGTACCATGGATCAGCTCGAGTTTCTTGCTCGTCCGCTGGTTGTCTTTCTTTTTTTTTTTTTTCCCTTTAAATTTTTTCTCTCTGGCCGCCTGTTCGTGGTCTGGTCGCCGTTGAAGCTGGCCTTGAAGCTGAAACTGGCGTGGATGCGCCGTTTTGGTGGTGTTTCTTTTTCGGTGCAGAGGAAGACCTTAGACGACGAAGGGGCTGCGGCGGAGAAAAAAGAAGCCCATCCAACTTTCTCTTCCTGCGCTGTTTCAACCCTCCCAGTCAAACCAACCGCCAGGCACGCTGCCACCCACCAACCAACCACCTACTTTTAAGAGCCAACCGCCTGCTTCTCCGTCGTTCGTCTTCTGGTATTATCGCACTTCTGCGTGCTGCTGTTCTCCGTCCACCACGAGCGAGTGATCGTCTGCGTTTCCGATAGCGTCTCCGGGGCGAAGCTAGTGAGCTATCGATAGCTCTCTTCTCTGCCCTTGCGCTCCTGTTACAGATTCCAACCTGGCCACCCCGATCACCGCGGCCACTGCAGAGCGAATTCTCCGAGCATCAAGCGGCCATCGTCATCTCTCTGGGACAGGGAAGAGGCCTGTCCCGCTGTCTTTGCCTCTCTTGATGAATTCTCCGTGCTGAGCAGTCCAGCTATGTTCCGTCGCAAGAGGAGCGTCCGTCATGCTGTCAGTATCCAGGTTTTTATCTGCCAACTCCACCCCCCCCAGCATCAGTGCCCAATATGATGAAGAGATAGAGCGGCTGCTAACACTGGAATAGCCTCTAAATACCAATCCATCTCCGTCTGCGCAAACAGCTGCCCTCCAGGCGTTTCGAGCGTCCCAGAATCCAAATCCCAGCCTGTCCTCCTCCGCCGCAGCAGCTGCCCTTCGAAGCCATACCCCTCCTCCAACACCCGTCAGAGATGTCCAGACCAAGCGTATGCTGCGCAGGAAGCAGTCTGCTTCGTCTATCAGCGTTCCTCCAGGAAATACGCTTCCAAATGGCAAGAATGGAGGGCTTCGGAGAGTCCGCAGTTCCGGGTCCATGACTGCAAGGACGTTCAGAGACCAGTCGCCGGCTCGGGGAGGCAGTGCCACTTCGAACCCGGCTGATACGGTACCGGTTCCTCCCCTACCGCGTGGCTATGCAGCCTCTCCTCCGCAGAGACCTGGAAATGCAGACTTACCCGGCGTCCAGGGGACTGCATCGGCAAATGGAGCGTCAGCAGCAGCGGCGATTGCTGGACGTAGGGCTCGGTCAGTGTCCAATTTGTCATTGGGGCCGGCTGATCTTGAAAGGGGTGGTAGCAGGAACTCCATTAATTTCTCTTATCCGATGAACAGGCCGAATTCACCCCGGCTATCAATAGCTTCTCTAGATTCACCCAGAGGGGGTAGCCTAGGCTCTCCAAGACTACTACAACAACACCAGCAGCAAAAGCTCCCTACCGAACAGGCATCGGTACAGTCTACGGATAAGCCAGTTACGGGCAAGCCACCGCCGCTGTCAGAGTCTCGACCAATGCTGGTTGATCAAGCCACACAGGTTGCAGACGACTCCTTTAACCCAATGCCAACTTCTCCGCCTGGTACACAGCAGACAGACAACAAGCCGGTGGTGAACGATACCGTTGCTAAACCTTCGCCTACTGTTACTGGTGGAACGCAAACAGATAGCCATGATGAAATACGTCATGCATCACCACCACCAATCCTTGGTAGGAGGCCTTCGACAGTCCTAGAACTGCAGGAAGAAGCCGAGGATGACCAGCCTATCAAACGACAGGTAATCCATGAAAGCTTAGATTTCACCAAGCAGCGTCCGATGGAAACTATCAAATTGAAGGAACCACCGCCTGTTCAACATACCAAACCCAGGGGGAAACCACAACAACAACAACAACAACAATCACAGGCCCAGGACTCTTCTGCGCTACCTACCCCAAAAGTCTTCCACATCAGGCCTTCGTCCATCAGTCCAAACAGGCTCACACGCTTCTCCGAGCATCTGGAAATACCAGACTCGGAGAAGAACCTACACAACCCTCCACCAAGATCACTTTCACCAGCTAAACCTGCGTTGAAATCGACACCCAGCCCTTCCCTGGGAACTCGTCCCGAAAGACTAACTTACCAACCGGGCCAACCAGGCAGCGAGACTTCCGAGGGGACCTCCTTGGTCTCCGACGATGGCTCCAGGGCGGGTTCAAAAAAGAGACATCCCAAAGTCAGCTTTGAAGACGAGACAGAAGTCATCGGCCATGGCATCAGTCCTCCTACTTCTCCAGAGTCTCTAACATCTCAAAGTCCCCGGGCACATACGCCTCGGTCGTGGAGCGACAGTGTCATTCGGTCAAAGTTCGGCGACGATGATTTGAACGACTTTGAGCAGTGCTTCACTCCACGCCCTGCCCTACCGTCATTTGGCAGCATTCGGGGTCGCAAGCCATCAAGATCAAAGGACTTTGAGGATGACCCGAATCCAGCATTGGAAATATCTTCTTCCTCTGCCGACCATGCAATTGGTGGGATCCTTTCTACTGCTGGTGGGAGAGACCAGAGCAAACATGATGCAAACACTAATCTGCAGCTGCCGCCTGAAGTGACATCACTGGAGAGCACCGGCTACAGCTCGCTATCGGACGACACTTCCGGCGATGAAGGACCAGAGCTACAGTATTTCCCAGCACATCTCGATAGCAAGAGGGATGATACCCCTGCGTCAAAGGATACACCCAGCCAAGCCAACGGAACTTCCCAACCTCGCCAAATAGAGGCGCCAAATCACCTGAAGCCGACTCCCGCGATATTCATTCAACCTGCCACACCAGGTATGGAGGAGGTCGCGCACTCTAAAAGGCCATCCTCTGAGATACCCAAAGACGAAAGCACGCAAGGAGTTAACTCGTATTTCTCAGCAAATGATACAAAGACTCAGGGCCGCGAGGAGGAAGATGGTGACTCTGACTCTGATTCGGGGAATAGTGTCTATAGTGATGCCTATGAAGATCTCTCGGACCTGGAGGGAGATGGTTTTGGCTCTATTGATGCAATAGTCGATAGATCAGTACCCTCCGTGCCGCAGCCACAGCAGCCCAGCGTCACGCATTCTCAGCCTCAAGAAAGAGGTCAACGAGACGAATTAAACGGTACAGCCGAATCTTATGCAGCGGCAAATGTTACTCCAGAAACGCAGTCGCAACCTGCTCATCAACGTCAACCAGAAGGTACCGCTGAAGAAGGCGAAAGTCGCCGCCAGGCTTTATCTACAGCTAAGACAGCTGGGAAGCCCTTATTCGAAGAGAAGACGACAAGCCCACCCGCAGCCCCATCTCATCCAAGCCCAAACATATGCTCTTCTGGACAATTCAACCGTCACTCACCGGCTCTTCGCCCAATCCTAGAATCCAATGGATCAAGTGAAAACAAACCTGTCAAAGCAAAGGGGAAAGCCGCTCCCGCAATCCGTCCACAGCGGACAATGTCAAATGCAAGCGACTCATCCAGCAGTTTCAAACGGCCCAAGAGATTCCGTTCAACGGGGCGCTATACCCTACGACGAACCATGAGGACGACCAGTGCTGATCACATGGAAGTGCTATCGGACGGCGGTCTGCCTCCTACAAAGACAATTGACCATTCATTAAACCGCCGACCATTCTCCTCTAACGATACCCGTCCAACGATGCGAACCACTCTGCGTCAGTCTCCAAGCACCGCCACTTCGAGATTCTCTGTGTTAACCGGCCGAGGCAAATCTGCAAAGGCAAATGGATCATCAGCAAAACATCAGCCGTTTAAATCAAGATACGAAGATTCCAGCGATGAAGAAGGCGGGGCTATCAAACTCAGGCCTGTCCGGGGTATACCGAGGAGACGAAATGAAACAGAAGGCGACTCGACCGACCTTGACGATAGTTCCGAGGACGAGGCTACCAGACATGTTCTACGACGGAAAAAGTCGATTAAGGGCGACTCAAGGGCTATTAAGGACCCCGCCGTTGCTGCTGCTGTAGCAAGGCTAATGGCTCCGAGAGACATTGAGCAATCAGCTGCAATCTCCGCCATACCAGGCCCTGAGCAACTTCCTGAGTTCAATATCAAACACAGGAGTGGTTTGCTTGGGCGTCTTCACCTGCCAAAGAACAACAAGCTACGTAGAGAGTCAATGCTACGAAAGCCCGATATAACCCTCGAGCAACCAAGGCTGGGGCTGGAACAAGCCAGTATTGCTTCCCCGGGCCTACCAGAAGAAGACTACGCAAGATCCACATCTGTCAATGGACACGTATTGGAAAGTTCGCGGAGTGATTGGCAGCCACTATCACCCAAACTGCAGAAACGAGCGAGCAAACTAATGCATCGGCCTGCCGGTGACTCCTGGCCTCTTCGTTCAAACGGGCACACTGCATTCTCTCTACCATCGTCACCCAGTACGACCGAGAGAAGAAGGCCAACAGTGTTACCAATGCAGGAAATCACTAATGGCAAGGACTCAGACACTCGCCCTCGGACAGCAGATAGTGTGGCAGCACAGAATACAACACAACCTACAAACACCGCGTCTGTACCGAACAGCCCAATGAGTCCGGCTAGAGCAGAAAGATCTCTCTGGGCGTCTCGGTTCCGGCCTTCTAGACGTGCCACAGATGACAATTCGACTGTATCAGCGGTATCAGAAGTGCACCTCTCATCGTTGCGGAATGAGATCCCCCGACATGAGAAAAAGGGCAGGTTTCCAAGGCTGAAAAAAGTTTTTGGGATTTCCTGAAACAAGATATCTACAACAACACCATGAATCCGACCGTTGATCAATGCCATTCTCTGATATATTTTACATCCCCTGTTCAATATACACATCAATTAACTCTCCTTCAACCCAACATCTCTCTACTTACGTTCTCTAGTCCGCAGATCATTTATCCCCCTCCTATTTTCTTAAAATTTGCCATAAATATTTATTTGCTTCTTGATATGTCGTTGCATAATATTGGCATCAGGTTTATGTTTCAAGTGAAATCCCAAAAGCACCACGATAATAATGTTTTGACTGTTTAGTATGGCTCCTTTTCTTTCCCCTTTCACCCACCCATACATTCCATCTTCCTGCAGATAGATTGTTTTCCTTCTGTCCTTTTTAATGCCATGTCAGTAATGATAATAACGCTTGATATTTGTACCACTTTTAATTCAGCTGATATACGAAAATAAATACGTATTCAAGTAGCACGGCCCTCTAAATAGATAAACCAAGTAAAACCCAGCAGCCATCTATGCTCCATTCACGGTACCAGCCAGAACCATCTGCCCCCAGAAATAAAGCTCCCATCCAACAGAAGCCTGGAGCCAGAAATACCCTCCCTTATCACCCGATTTCTTGCTAAACGCATCCTTTGCAACAAACAAATCACTAATGACAAACATTACTGCTCCCAAGCTTCTTTGATTCTGCATCGACATGCTCGTCGGAAGTCGCAGCACCGGTACCGTCGAAACAGCAGAAGCAACCATACAGCTGATGATCAACGTATACAAACACACCAGATGCCGCATATCATCCGGCACAGACAGACGCAACACATTTGATCTCATCAGCGAGGCGTTTGCCTCCAGCTCACTTCCTGGTCTCGGGTATAATACCCCCAGCCATCTCGCAGCAAGTAACGAGGCCATCGCCACACTCACGAAGACAGACCATGATATGCTTTGCGTATCTTCCAGAAAGGCAAGGATATACGCTATGTGAGCTGCAGCGAAAGCACCGATTCCAGCCTGGAATGACGCCGATAGAGACACTTCCTTCTCAACCTTCGGTTGGTTTGGGTTCTGGGACTTGGTGTGTATGCTGTACTCGCTTCGGGAGGGTATTAGGAGGAAATCTCCGATGAGAGAGAAGAAGAGGCCCCAGGTGATGTAATTGCGGTAGGGAGAGGGTTCGTTGAGAGTTAAGTGGAGGGCTCCTGAGAGAAAGGCGAGGGAGGAGATTGGTTTGGCCAGAAGGTGGCCTATGTATATTGAATTGACCAGGATTGGTAGGGATACCAGCAGGAGGTACACTGCAGCCTGTGGAGGGAGACTGACATCCATCGTGAGGGTTGCTTCGTTATCTGTGAGTGGATGGTTCTCATGAAGTTCATGAAGCTGATGCTGCAACAGCAAATAATATCTAACAGCTGCTCGTTATCTCCAACCCTGGAAGGCAGTTTTCTATCTGCACCGAGAAGAAGAACATCGCGGCCCGAGGTGAACAAACCTGGCAGGAAGCGGGACATGTGATGTCTACATACTGGAGGATCTAGGTAGAGCTTGCTACCCGATCCGGCAATTCTGACTACAGCTTCATCTTTGCTGCTTGAGACGCCCTACCGAAGCTGATTCTACTCTTCGGCTAATGTGTTCAATTGATAGATTCAGTTGCTCTTCGAACTGCCCATGCCCATACTTACTTCTGATGGTCCTTGGGTAACTTTATGGCGGTTGACATAACTAACCCCATGTGACTTGCCGGGAGTCCGGTTATACGATAGATCGCTGTGAATAACATTTTCGCGTCCAAGGAAATGCAGCTGCATCCTAGCTAAAACATGCATAACACCTGAGGTCGCCACTCGAGTCATTTGTTTTTTCCCTTTTTTTCCCTTTTATGTCAGTTTATCTGCACCTTTGAGAAAGCGGGTTTAACGGAAATAACAGCACTTCCCGTCGGTGACGCCCTTTGGGTCGTCCGAACGGGGTGGGGTATCAAAGAGCATGCTATTCAACCATGAGCCTTGAATTTTTGGTACAGTCTGGCCTGGATTTAATATATATTCAAAAGTCCCCTGGGGTTCCGAAGAAAGGGCGAATTACTACCTCTTCAAGGAAACCTGGACGTGAATATGCCAGAGAAGGAAATAGAAAACGTTATCTGTCAGGATGGAGTACTCGATGCCAATGCCAACGGTGGAGCCAAAGATATGGGAGAACTTGAAAGTGGCCATACCCAAGAAGAAAGAGGAAGAGAGGAAGAAGCGGCAATCTATTCAGCTTTCAAACCAGGAACCAAGATTTTTATATTGGCGATGGCTACATTTTCATCCTTATTCTCCCCCATGTCGACAACAGTTTACTTGCCGGCCCTGACCCCCATTTCAGCCGATCTGAACGTCTCGACTAACCTTATCAATCTGACACTGACCACCTACATGGTCTTCCAGGCCCTCTCCCCCACATTTTTTGGAGACTTTGCAGACACAAGCGGGCGCAGGCCTGCATACATTACCACTTTTGCAGTTTACCTAGCTGCCAACATTGGCCTAGCCCTGCAGAACAGTTATCCAGCACTGTTAGTGCTGCGGTGCCTGCAGAGTGCAGGAAGTAGCGCGACCATTGCCATCACGATGGGTGTGATGGCAGACATTGCAACTGTCTCCGAAAGGGGGAGGTATGTAGGCATGGTTTTGACGGGAACTTTGGTTGGTCCAGCAATAGGCCCGGTACTAGGTGGTGTACTTGTGCAGTACCTTGGATGGCGATCAACCTTCTGGTTTCTGGCAATTGGAGCCGGAGTGTTTCTGGTGCCGTATGTGCTTTTTGTGCCGGAAACATGCCGGAATGTGGTGGGTGATGGCTCTGTGCAACCGCCGTGGTGGTGGAGCCGCACACTGATGGATATATGGAAAGGCAAAAAGGTCCGGCCGAGCAAGGTGGAATGGGAAGCATCTCTGGCAGACCAAGGGATCAAGAGGAGGACATCTAGCTTTCCTAACCCGCTGCAGTGTGCAAGATTGGCGCTAGAGAAGGACATCGGACTGATCCTGGGGGTCACCGCGGTGTTGTACGGGGCGTTTTATATCATGTTGGCTTCTGTCCCATCCCTCTTCAAAGAGATATATGGATTCAACGAGTTCCAGGTTGGACTCTGCTACTTGTATGTCAATTTCAGTCGTGGGGCCCATGGGTTCTCGTGGGATAGAAGTATTTTTGGTTGCTAACGTATTTAAAGGCCAAGCGCAGCTGGGGGGATAGCATCAAGCTTCAGCATTGGCCACCTTCTAGACTGGAAGTTCCGGCGCATCGCTACGAGCCTTGGCCTGCCTGTGGACCGCAAACGAGCCCAAAGCCTGAAGGAATTCCCCATCGAACGGGCCCGGATTTCGCTCATGCTCCCACTCCTCTACGCCGGCATGGCCACGATGGTTGGGTACGGTTGGGCTCTTGAGCAGAGGGCGATGCTTGCTGGACCACTGATACTGCAGTTTGTGACGGGCTTCTGCACCGGTAGCGCCTTTACAGCAATGAGCACGCTGCTGGTGGACCTGTACCCGTTCAACCCGTCAGCGGTGACGGCAGCAAGCAACCTGATCCGTTGCCTAGTGGGAGCGGGGGCAACGGCATCGTTCAACCCTCTGATCGAGCGGATTGGAATAGGCTGGTGCTTCACGGTGTGGTGTCTGTTGACTGTGGGGGTGTCTCCAGGTCTCTGGGTAGTTATCCGATGGGGTCCAGCATGGAGGGAGCGGCGGCGGCGGCAGCAGCAGCAGCAGCAGCAGGCATCATCTCTCTGACAGCAGCCAAAGAGACACACGCATCCGATCGTGCTGCCATGGTAACACTGAACAAGCGAAGCTGGCGGTAAAACAACACTGCAACGGAGGCCGGTGGCTGGCGCCGTCGCCCGGGCAACCGCAGCAGACCAAACAGGCCGGCGTAAAAAAGCCGAGGTCCATCCCCATCCCGTGATTAGTCATCGGCTGGCCTCTGTTTACGTCTCTTTTGTAGGCGCCGCGCGTAACACTGTATTGACGCCGTAACGCTGTAATCTGCACTCCTGCTTCCGTACCAGAAACATCAGAAACGTGAAAAGCAAGCAAGCGACCAGGAGGATCAAAGAGGCCCCAGACATAGTTTTTTGACATGTGGGCGATGCGCTGCCCGAGTTGCCGTCTTCTGAAGGCTGGAAATTGGGATGCTGCAGCAATGGAGTCGAGTCGAGGCCGATGGCTGGGGAAGGCAGCACGCAACGCCGGAGCTGGAACTGGAGCTGGAGCGAGCCAGAGCTGGGGAGGCTGGGTCTGAGAGCTTGCATGAGCTGGCATTGTGGTGGCAACCAACCACCAAGGTCCACGACGTCTTCTCCATCGGCCCTTTTGTCTTCACTACTAACTGTCCTCATCGTCCCTCTCACTTTGTATATCCTTCCTTTCACCATCTCTCACCCTCTCTCTCTCTCTCTCACTTGCGAGGTCTCTCACCCGGGGCCTGTCAAACCAACAACCAGAGTTGAGGTGCCGTTTGTAACGTAAAATACGTCGTACGGTACCAGGGACCTGTGCCGGGAAACCACGCTAGCCGCTTCTGGACGTGACATCGTAAAATAAACAAACAAAAGCCTTGTTTTCTTACCGTACAGATACAGGCCGCCTTTGGTCCTCCTTTTCTGCCGCAGGCCAAATAAGAAGTCGAAAACTTCCCAGCCTCCGACTTTCTCTTCCTTCTTCTTCTTCTTCTTCCTCTTCTTCTTCCTCTCCTCCATCGCCAGCCTCGACTTCACTCCATCAATTCCATCTCAATTGACCTTCTTCCATCTCCCAGAACAGGACAGACGCCAGTCTATCTTCGTTCTCATCACCCTCTGTGCCCCTTCGTCCCCGTTGTAGCTGTAGGACTTGAGAGACCCCCGTCTTTTCTTGTCTAGCCTTTCGAATTGTCACCCAGTTCGAAAGGCATTCGAGAAAGGACGCCCCTCAAGCAGCCAATCTGGACTTTGACGCCCGCGTCCCCATCCCCTTCAGTGTCTTCCCGTCGTCGTACCGGAGTGACGCTGCTGCCGCTGTCTCTGAGTCGACTCAGGAGAGAGTAGAGGGCGAGGTCAAGTTTTCAGGTGCTTCGCGCGTCGGACGGGAAGATACTCGATACGAAGGCCCCCTCCCAGCACCAAGAACCTCTACCCAGCAAGCCACTGCTTCCTTTGACCAGCGCTTCGACAACGAGGAGTTCCGTCCTGTCACCGACTACAGACAAACCACTGTCGTAGCCCACGAGGAGCACCCCCGTCACAGCCACCAGCAGGAACACATCCCTGAAGTTCAGCTTTCCCGGGAAAGGTTAGTCTTGTTTTCTTTGCTTTTCCCTCCATTTCCCTCCCTCTAACTAGAGTCCTCTAGATACTACGAGACCAGAGATCGTCGAGAGACTGAACTTGATACCCAGCTTGACATCACTGAGCGTCAATACCGTGCCCGTACTGATCCTCGCTACCAAGCCCAGTACGAGTCTGAACCCCGCCAAGTTCGAGACGTAGACGTCGGGTACAGCAGCAGCCGTACCTTCAGCTCCGTCGAGAGACCCTCCGAGAAAGTTCGAGAAGTCGACGTTGCCTACAGCCGGGCCTACGAGACCGTCGACAACGCTCGTCCACCAGTCGAAGTCCGTGACATCGACTACCAGGAGCAGACCAAGAAGTCAGATACCCTCAACCTCATCTCTGATCACCGCGTAGTTCAGGAGCAGGACCCCAAAGCCAAAATGGGTTACTACGACGACGAAGGTCAGTACCACTCCTTCCGCCGCGGAGTCGAGCGTGCTGCCGAGCGCGTGATGCACCCATTCCATCACCGCCACCATCACCACCACCACCAAACTCACGAAGATGGAATCATTTCTGACGAGCGCCGCGCCAATCAAGTTGTCCCACGTGAAAACGTCCGCGTTGTCCAGCCCCGTGGTGGACACCCACCAGACACCATCACCATCCCCTGCCACTTCATCCGCATCGGCGACCTTTTGATCCTCCAGGGCCGCCCTTGCCAGGTTATCCGTGTCTCCGTTTCCCAGCAGACTGGCCAGCACCGTTACCTCGGTGTCGACCTCTTCACCCGCCAGCTCCATGAGGAGTCCAGCTTCATCTCCAACCCATCCCCATCTGTCGTCGTCCAGAGCATGCTCGGCCCCGTCTACAAGACCTACCGTGTCCTCGACATGCGTGACGACAACCGCATCGTCGCCATGACCGAGACCGGTGACGTCAAGCAGGGTCTCCGTGTTGTCGACCAGGGCAACCTCTTCAACCGCATCGCCGATGCCTTTGCCGAGGGCCGTGGCTCCGTCCGTGCCCTCGTCATCAACGACGGTGGCCGCGAGCTCGTCGTCGACTACAAGGTCATCCACGGTTCCAGACTTTAGACAACCAAACCCACAAACCAGTCAGCCAAACAAAGGTACCTCGGCCCCAACCTTAACCTTATATTCTGCCCGGTTAACTAACACACCACTTGTAGAGATACAACGAATTCAATTTCCTGTCATTTTGATCTATGTCTAGTTTGGATACCAGATGTATTGCCTGGACATCAATTTTGACAAGCTTGTTTCCTCTTTACGTCTCGGAATCCAATGTTCTATTTTCCTTTGTCGATAACTTGAAACTTAGTAGTAGTGAACACCTTTCCTTTGTCAGTGCCTGCTTTGCTTTCTTACTAATACGACGTCTAATCAACCTTGTAAAAATGAAATGGAAATGAAAGTTTGCTCTATGTAAGACTCTTCCCTTATGTTGGTCCCCAAGTAGACGCTTTTTGTAGGACTAAAGTAGAGAATGACGTGTTGGTTTGCTCTCTATTCATGGGCCAGCTAACTAAATGTTTGGTTCGAAGGGTTACATCCGTGGTCCTAGACTGTAGTACATGGCTTCTGTGATCTCGGTATATTGACCAACACGAGATAACGGGTTCCAGGGTAAAGGAGTCTTCATACAAATGTTACACTGTAGTAAAAAACAAGTCGTTGCTAGGATAGGTTAACTAGTTGACGCTGAACTATGCTCTTGAATTTGGTTGACTCTTTGGATGGCTTCCTAGGTGGGAGCCAACCATTCTTATATTCTTACTGAGTAGAAATAATATCTACACTCTGTTTCTTTCCTGTCTATATCGACACCTACTGTTAGTTACTGGCTGTAATCATTTCTCCATGTTGACGTAATAAAATTCAAGTTCATCTGTGGTCAATTCTTTCCACTGACTTGCTAGTAGCTTTATAACTATCGTGAGTCCATTCCCTTGACGTCTACTTTACTTTATCTATATCCAACAACCATGACAGACAGGCTATGCACGGAGTAATCTAGCTACTGCCAGGGATGACGGCGGCCCTTATCTCGGGAGCAGCCTAAACCCGGTGGACTTTGTTTTCCGCGGCNNNNTATCTCGCCTCATCCTTTTGGCGCTGTGCTATTGGAGGCAGAGCCAGCCAGGCGGTTCGCGGGGCCTGCGTCTGTCGGAAAAGTATGCAGCGGAAGAAAGGCTGCTGCTCGCTCATGGCCTACTGGTACAGCAACAGAGGGACTTTAGCTTGGTCAACGGGAGAGGGTTGATATTCTCCATTCCGGTGCTGGTGGGCTGATATCGCTGGTCATGCTCAAGAAACCCTCATACCATCGACTGACCAGCAACTTTAGTTACCCTACGAGACGCCCGAGTAAGCAACTAGATATCGAAACGAGAAGCAGACTCCAAAGCCCACAGGGCCACAAGACCACACTCGGGTCGGCTACCCACAACTGCTGCCCAGATGAAGCGGGAGACACGCTCCATCCAGCGAATAGCAGCGGCGGGACAGCGAGAAACAGAAGAAACCCCCGCATCGCAAGGTTTACTCGCTCCTTGGTGTCCTATTCGAAACAGGTTTCATTGCCACCTTCGTGAGGCCCGTCGGGTGTCTCGTGCCGTCGCATGACTTCTGCTTTGTCAACCTGCAGTTAGGCCGATAACTATCATATAGTTATCTATCGTCCGCTGGGGACCGGGGTTTGCAGATACATCACAAAGACAGAGATAAAGGGGATGAGCCATAGCTACCCAACCAAGCTACATGATAGTTACACATCAAACGTTGCAGTTGAGTTAGCAATGGAGCATTCATTGGGTGGCTGAGAACTGAATATACGAACTGGAGGGCAAGCCTGAGGGCGGGGAACAGCTGACTTGGGGAATAAATTGCTCCTTTTACTAGTTGCTCTTGCTCGATGGAATTGAACGACTTTTAACTACTTAGTGAGCCATTCACCCGAGAGGTAAGGTCAACTGCAACACCCCGTTTGATGCATACCTCACCTGTGCCCCAGCGATCCCCACCTAAGCTGATCGATACCCACGATGCGATCGGCGAACAAATCAAGACAATATCGTGCATATATATGGCCTCCATGCACGATGAAAAAGCCCTATGAGTTGGCGATATTTCATTCCAAACTGGAGTGAAGACAGGGGTTTGATGTATATATACGTCTCACCCCTCTACCTTACCCTCTACACCGCAAGTCCATATTATCGTCTCTCAGTCCCGTATACATCTAACGAGCAGCAGACTGTCAATAGTGGTGATAATGGAAGCTCCCAGCTCAACAAAGCAAACGGATGCCCCTTTTCGTTTTCTCGATCTGCCCTTTGAAATTCGCCATGAAATCTATTCATACTGTATGCCGTACCATACCCATTTTGAGGAGATACGCTATTTCAGGGCCCGCGCTAGCTTTCCGCAGCCGGCAGTAAAAAAGTCAAACGTCAAGAACAAAAATGCCCTCCTCCGCGTCTCAAAACAGATAAGTGAGGAGTGTCTGAACATACTATACGGCAAAAACAGATTCTATATCACCCTCAACGCTTCGAAACGATGCCTCCTTGCCAATCGTATCACTACAGAGAACAGAACTAGAATCAGAGATGTGGTTGTTATTGTGCGACACATGGGGCCCGCATACGGGCTACCGCCGCCTGTGCCTGCAGATGGGCTGTGGTCTTCGTTGCTCCCTGGCCTAAGACAGCTGAAGATCATTGCTGAGCAGCCCGTGCAATCTCCCAATTCACCCTTTGACCCAGCCTTTGACGAAAAGGTCAGAAGCTGGGTCAAGTGGTTTGGCCTTCTGATGGAGTGTTTTGCGAAATATTTGACTTCTTATACCGTCGTCGAGGTGGACGAGAACGGAAAGGACGTCACTACGGAGCTTGTCAGGCAACATCTCACCCATAGTTATCGAGTGGTCAGAGACGATATCCACGGCGACTTTATTTTCCAGAGGGGACGATTTGCCATACATGCATAGCATCTCATTGAGCAGCTGGACTACTCCAACCATTTTAATGATAACCGATTTTAATCCCTTTCAACATTGTTCTCTCTCTCTTTCTTGTTCCTTTCTTGGACTGCATATTTTAGGGCATACTTATCTGTTATTTTCCCACATATATCCAGCACACTTCGTTTGACATCCCTTCTCCTTCTCCACGGCGCATCATACAATACTGAAATCCTCATTTATGACCACCAGTGAATGTCATGGATATACTGTTGTCGACCTGAGATAGAGCCACGTGACTAGTTAACTATTTATAGCTCTCGACGCACTGAATCCACTTTTTAACACTTGCTCAAGACCCACATCGCGGCTATTTCTCTGACTCCAACCACAAAAGCGCTACCAAGTCGTTTATCCTCCAAGCTCCAACGTCACAGATCCATCCCCTTGACAAAGAACGTAACTTTCACGATATCACGGAGTATTTTAAGCATTTTCGGAAGAAACCTTCATCCAAAACCAACCTTATTATCATCTACTGAGTTATGGAGAGATCGAAGCAGAGTTCTCACTTCCGTCTCCTAGACCTTCCCCTCGAAATACGTCGAGAAATCTACTACTGTTGTCTGCCTCGAGGGCGGCTGGTCATTCTACCATCGACGGCCGACGGCAAGCCGCAATTCAGCTACCCGCAGCGACCTTCTGATCAACAGATTTCAGGCCACAGAAACAATATCCTTCATCTTTCCAAACAAGTAAGCGAGGAGTGTCTTGACATTCTCTATGGCGAAAACAGGTTCCGTCTGAGTTTCAGTGCTACTATCCACTATGCACCTCGGACAATTCAGGAGACCGCCGAGCCGCATCTTATAACCCAGCATATCACGCCCAAAAATCGCAACAGAATCCGTTCTCTGGTGATTTTAGCGTTGCCGACGGCGTGGCGCCAGGATATGGCAATTTGCACTGGCTTGAAATCTGTGCCTGAGCGGCTCAACTGTTTTCATATTTTTACCCGGAAAAGACAGGCTACAGGCGATGACACCGAACAGGTGATACTCGAGCGTTTTCATCAGTTTGTGGAATTTATGTGTAGCCGCATAACTCCTCAAGCTACGGTGCGACTTTCGGATTTCGTGCCTAAGAATGGTAAGCCTCGGGGAGGTATGCGTCTAAGCATAGTAAGTGCTAGCAATAGCCCGAGTGTGAGCTACTATGCGGTGTGAAGTGGGGTGATGCTGCGGTATATAATCTGGATACCGTTGCAATATATTATACTATACATTCATCGTGGCTCAGATTTTAAGTGCATCTTAGCGATTGAGTCGGCATAATGCTTATCAGTAATCATAGATATAAGCCTTTTACTTAACATGAGATATGTAATCCACGCCAAATATCAAGATAATAATGTATGGCAGGTTCCCAAGTTTACGTATGGTCATCATTCGTGTAAGCTACTGGTGTTATATTCCTTTTAGCTGAGGTTACGGGTATATCACGCTGGGATCAGTAGCAATAAATTGGTAGGATTTGACGCTGGTCTGTCCTTTAGTATGGAAGTATACCTTTCTGATATTTCAAATTAGCTCATGACAATCGATGTTTAATTTGATAGAAATTAGTTAGTCACCTTCTAGGTGTTTTGAGGTCAAGGACTTGAACATGCTGCTGTAAAGTTCATTAGGCATGTAAACGTTGTTAGGGTTCAAAAGCATGTAACTAACTAACTACATGCTTAGTTGCAATCGTAAGTGCTTACTATAATTACAATAAGTAGGTACCTGTAATGGAAGAGTTTATATGTGGGGCTTAGCATTTAACTAGTGGGGCTAACTTAGCTAACTCTAACTCTAACTAGTTAGTTGCACTGCTCAGGAAATTAAGTTAGTCAACTTAACAGCTAATTTGCTAACTAAACAATCCGGAGTAAGCGCTGACCTTCGGATATTCGGAAAGCGATTGCACCCACTGGGCTCTCGCTCCAACCACTAGTTAGGTGGGCAGCCGTACTCCGTACCTATATGGACATCCTGTCCATGCTAACTCCGCCCATTCATACATCCCGGATGCAGTCTATTGCTCCACTTTCGTTGGCTTGCACAAGGCAGAACGCTATCTTTCTCTCGCAATGGCACGAGTTGGACGCGTCGGGTTCCTTGGAACTGCGATCGTGTTCCATGTGATTTATATCTATTCCATTTTCGACATCTACTTTGTGTCGCCAATTGTACATGGAATGCGTGCATACAAAGTCGATACACCTGAACCACCCGCCAGGCGATTGGTTCTGTATGTCGGTACATTTCATCACTCTTTTCTCATCACAAGCCATTGCATACTGACCTAAGCTTCGCAGGTGATGGGCTCCGAGCTGACAAGGCGTTCCAGTTCTTTCCTGACCCTTCAAGACCAGCAAACGATTCATCCGCGCAGGACCTTGTCCCCATGGCCCCTTTTCTCCGCTCTCGAGTACTTGAACATGGCACTTTCGGTGTCTCTCACACCCGTGTCCCCACTGAATCCCGGCCAGGTCATGTCGCCCTCATCGCTGGGTTGTACGAAGATGTGGCAGCAGTAACGACAGGATGGAAACTCAACCCGGTCAACTTCGACAGCGTCTTTAATAGAAGCCACCATACCTGGAGTTGGGGGAGTCCGGATATCCTACCAATGTTTTCCACCGGTGCTGAACCAGGCCGAGTCGAAGACCAGATGTATGAGGCTGAGTTTGAAGATTATAGTAAGGATGCTACGGAGCTAGATTACTGGGTCTTTGATCGTGTTAAGAAGTTATTTGAAGATGCCGGTACAGACAAAGAGTTGAATACGAGGCTAAGACAAGACAGGATTGTGTTTTTCCTACATTTACTGGGCTTGGATACTACTGGACATGCACATCGACCATATTCACAGGAGTACTTAAGGAATATCCAAATTGTGGATCAGGGCGTACAGGAGATTACGGATATCATTAATCGGTTTTACGATGATGATAAGACAGCTTTTATTTTTACTGCAGACCATGGGATGAGTGATTGGGGGAGTCATGGAGATGGACATCCTGACAATACTAGGACGCCCCTAATTGCTTGGGGGTCTGGAGTTGCGAAGCCGAGGACGGTGAAGAGTGGCAAGGCGCCGGGTCATGAAGATGGCTTCTCGAGTGACTGGCAACTGGATCATGTCTACCGCCATGATGTTGCTCAGGCAGACATCGCGGCTCTTATGGCGTACCTTGCCGGCCTGGAATCTCCTGTCAATTCTGTTGGAGAGCTTCCGTTATCATTTCTGGACGCTACTGATGAGCAGAAAGCAAAGGCTCTGCTCGTTAATGCGAAAGAGATTTTGGAGATGTATCGTGTTAAGGAGCGCGAGAAGATGGGTGAAGTTCTACATTACAAGCCTTACCCTGGCTTTGCTGAAACTAGCATCGAGAATCGTCTCGCATCCATTGAGGAACTCATCCAGGAACAAGATTACACAGCCGCAATACAACAATCTGACGATCTCATCAAGATTGCTTTGCAGGGCCTAAGGTACCTGCAGACCTATGCGTGGCTATTTCTGCGAACACTGGTTACAGCGGGCTATCTTGGCTGGATCGCATTCTCTTTTACAACAGCCGTAGATGTCTACGTGCTTGATGGCAAGATTGAGGTGCAGAGATCACCGGGCCTCATTATCAGTTTTGTCTCGATCCTGGTTGGGATTTATAGTCTGCTCGCTTTCCAATCGTCACCGATCACATACTACGCATACGCCTTCTTTCCAGTCTTGCTTTGGGAAGAGGTCTTTGCACGCTCGAGGGCGTTGGCCGAGGGCAGGAAGAAATTATTTTCGCAGTTTTCAAAGAGTGATACAGTCAAGCTTGCAATAAACACCGCTGCATGTTTGGCATTGCTAGAAGTCATGGTGAGTACCCGAGTTCCATCTATCAATGCCTGCTGACGAGTTTCACAGGTTCAAAGCTACTATAATCGACAGGTCTATACGATTGTCTACCTGGCGGCTACCGCTTGGCCACTGCTCTACGGCACAGATTTTGTCAAGACAAACTTCTTCCTGTGCGCTATATGGGCATTTTCTTGCGCAGCTATGAGCGTCTTTACCCTTCTTCCAGCTAACAAATTAGAGAACATAACTCTTATGTACGTGAACCTCATACAACATATTAATCATTGCTGACTCCATTCTAGTTCTGCCGGCGGTATCTTAATCCTTCTCGTTGGTTTTCTGTATATCGTGTTTGAAAAGAGACTATTGGAGCAGACTGTGCTCTCAAGCGATAGGCAGAGCGCAGCAGATGTCAATGGAGTGTCGAGAGTGATTCTTGGTTTGCAAGTCGGACTGGTTGCTATTTCGGTGTTTGTCACGAGGTCGAGTGTGTCTTCTCTGAGGGCGAAGCAGGGACTTCCGTTGGGGACACAGGTTGCTGGATGGACTACACTGGGTAAGCACTGTTTTGTTTTCTCCTCCCTGCAGATGTTATTAGACCCTGTCCACTGTATAGCTTTGAGATATGCTTCCGAGTCTTGCACAATTATGTGTTTGGGGCCTGTTCCTGCGCTAACAACGATGTAAACAGTTACATCTCTTGTGATACCATTTGCCCATGCCTTGCGCCCACGAAAACATCACCTCCTCCGCCAAATGATCATTTTCCTCGCACTTGGGCCGCTCTTCATAATTCTTACAATCTCTTATGAAGGGCTCTTTTACTTCGCTATTTCTATTACTCTCTTTAACTGGGTCCAACTTGAACACAGGATATATCGACATTCTAAGAATGACATTAGCATTACCTCCGGCGCCCTGAGCTCCAAAACGGGCCTAGAAGAGGAAATTTCAATACCGCGGGCAGCGAAGCAGGGAGAGAAGGCTGCCGCACAGGGGAACTACAGAAGTCTCGTCCTATCAGATGTAAGAGTCTGTCTGTTCTTCCTCTTCCTGCTGCAATCCGCCTTCTTTAGCACCGGAAACATTGCGTCAGTCTCTTCCTTCTCGTTGGACGCTGTCTACAGGTTAATTCCCATATTTGAGCCCTTCAGCCAAGCGGCTCTTCTTATTTTCAAGATCCTGGCTCCTTTCGCCCTGGTTTCTACCAACCTTGGGTTTCTGACTAAGAGATTGAAGCTTCAAGGTGGGAGCTTGTTCACGGTTGTTATGGGTATCGGTGACTACATGACCCTGCGCTTCTTCTGGGCCGTAAGAGACGAGGGGAGCTGGCTGGAAATTGGCGAAAGTATTAGCATGTTTGTCATTGCTTCTGCATTGTGTGTTTTTGTTGCCGGATTAGAGGCTTTGTCGGAGGTGTTTGTTAGAGGCGTGGAGTTTGAAGATGATAAGCAAGAGGTACGGGGACGGACGGGATTTCCGTCGGTCGGTCTTGGCTCTGGCGGCCCAATGAGAGATAGTCGCTAATTGAGTTTTGCCGAAGCCTCGGGCTCCACGGCCCGTAAAGGCTTACATAAGCGACATTGGCATGAGCGGAGTTAGTGGCGGAGTTAATGCATAGATAGGTGTCGGCAGTGTACAGTAGAGCGACGCTTTGTGTTGCTACAACATAGGTAGCAAAATCACCAGAGCAAGTCGATAAACAGAGCAAGGGCATTGATTAAACTAGGTCCGAGCGCTAGTATAAGCTATATTTGACATCGGTTGAGAAGTACAAAGATAGAAGGAATAGCGCCAAAGTTGTAACAGTAACAGTAACAGAACTCCATTTCCCTATGTTTGATAGTAGAACAGTACAGACTGATTTGAATGCGGTTCATCATGGAAGGCAAGATGCAGGTGGTTTCTGGGTATAGATTGTTGATAGTGATGATGGGGGCGAGGTGAGAAGGTATTATTAAACCGACGAGTGGTGTTGAGTATGTGATGGGTGGGAGGGTATGTCGCTATCAAAGCGTATGCATGATTGGGGAGAAGAGCAGGTATGCAGGTATGTATGTATGTGAAAAGGGGGTGAGGTAAACATGTGCGTTGAGAAGGGAAGAAGAAGCCGGCGATTAAATGAGAACTCCTAATATACAATGGTATCATAAGACATGGCATGCTGGCAGAGCAAAGCAAGCAAGGAAACAGAGCAGGACAAGAGGATGAGATGCTGGGCGTGGCATTGACAGTGACGGCAATGGCAACGGCTTTATTTATCACCATATTTGCCGAAGAGTTCCTGCCACTTGAACAAGCCTCGAGTCAGGACGTCCATCATCTCGCCGCTGGTGAGGTCCTTGAAGTCCTTGTCCTTGCCAGCAGCGTCTGCGTCAGGAGCTGGTGCTGAAGTTGGAGCTACTTGTGCATCTGACGAGCTTTGGCATTCGCTCGACGATGTGCCGTTAGTTAGGCCGTTTAGTATTGCCTCTGCTTTCGCAATGGTGGCTGCCATATCACGGCTTGTTGTTGCCATTGTCGAACTTGAGTCGCCTGGCGGTCGAGTCGGTTGCTCACCGCTGGCAGCCATTTCCACTTGTAGCCGCGAAATGAATTCGAGGATGGCGGCTACACGCCGGCGCATGTCGTTCATTGTAGTGCGGTTGGGGTTCATGTAGCGTGGTCGACTTGCTTTGCCGGTCTCGCCGTTTGCATACGTGCCATTGGGTCCTGCGTTGGAGGCGCTGGTGGGAGAGTCACCTGTTGTGACATCCTCGCGGGACTGGCCTCGACGAGGAGAGTTGGAGATGGCGTCTGTAGTGCCATTGGGAGGATCACGGTCACGAGTGTACTGGTTACGGCCTAGACGGCCACGTCGGGCTGGAGGTCGGCCGGATTTGCGGGTGGCAGGTTTGGAAACAGGTGTAGAAGCTGTTGGTGTATCTGAGGCGGACTGTGCAGGTGCATTTGGAGTGGGTTTTGTGGGAGAAGTGGTTTCGGGGGGTTCAGAGTCTACGAATTTAATTAGGAAGTGGTCCAAAGTCCGGGGAATAGAGGAGTTGTCCTACCTTCGCCTTTGCGACGGTCAGATCTGCCTTTACGTCGGCTAACGGGTTCAGGCGCAGCCTCCTTTTCGGGTTCAGGTTCAGGCTCAGGCTCCTTTTCGCGCTGGTTCCGAGTGGCTCTGGTTTTCTTTTGGTTGCCATTGACACTTGCAGTCTTCGACTTAGTTTCTTCTTCTGAGGGAGAACGGGTGTTGCGCCGGGAGGGTTTTGAGCGGGAAGAGGGGGAAGGCGAGCTTGTCCTCTGTCTCTTAGCAGCTTGTTTGTTCCTATCAACGTGTTAGTAGACTGCGGACTGCGTGTAGTATGGGAGGAAGACGTACAGTTCGCTAACACTGCGGCTTCTCTTGCCCCTGCGGCCGGTAGTAGTCTCTTCGGCCAGGGAGGCAGTGTCTTCTTTGCTCTCCTCGATGGCTCTGCGTAACAGCTCTTCCTCATCATAGGCAGCATCACGGCTGTTCATGGTTCTACGTTTAGTGCGAGGAGACGTATCGCTGCTCTTGAGCTTCTTGTCCTTCGAAGTTTTTGCGGTCTCTCTTGAGGTAGTTGAGGATGCCGATGAGGTAGACCCGGCTACCGGGAGGTATTGGGAGGACTTCTGGCTGCGAGACCGTAAGCGCGATGCCCACATTTTGAGGAATGCCGGAGTTCAAATGAAGCTGGTGACTGAGGAGCAAGGCAGGTGGAAGGGTGATGTGGTGAGGATAAAGAGAGAGCAGCAGGGCTCAAGGGAGGGAGTGAAGCCATCCTATATAGTGTATAACGTGTGTTGCGAGAACAATTGAAAGTGTACGTAGTGCCGGAGAAATCAATGGAGGATGCTGTGAATCGCAAGAACACAGCGGCGGTGAATAGGCAAGAGAGATACCAGCCACCACTAGTAATAAGGAAAAGAAAAAATCTTTGAAGTAGAGGACAGAAGGAAACAGACAAGATAGGAAGCAGTATAAAAAGAGACGACTCACCCATGAGGTCCGACAATGATACTGTGCAAGTCCTTGCGGCATCTCTCGCAGAAATACTCGTCAGGACTCGAGGCCTCTTCCATGATGCCGACGCAGCCGCCGTGCTGCCAGACCTTGCACTCATCGCACTGGATGAACAAGCTGCCGGCATCGTCAGACTGAGCATCAGCCCCGGAGCCCGCACCCTGGCCGTCGCCGTCCTTGCCGCCCTTGGATGAGGACGCAGCAGCGGCGCCGCCGCGGTGTGCAGGCAGACCCGGGTAGTCTTGGTGGCCGCAGATACAGCGTGTGATCTCCTCCTCGCCCTCTTCGTCGAACTCGTCTCCCGTCAGCGTCACGTCGGCATCGGCATCGGCCTCGACTTCCTCGCGGCCCCTGGACTGTCGCTGCTGGCGGGTGCTTGTGCCAGAGCCAGAGCCCGATCCAGAGGTGGCGGCGTCGTTCTTCGAGCTGGCCGTGTCCGCGCCATCGTCCAGCGACTGGGACCGCTGAGCAGCCGACCGGCGCGGCGGAGTAGGCTTGTTACCGTTGTTATTCGACCGCGTGGTTCGCTCCGGCCGGCTGAGGGAGTTGAGCGAGCTGGAGGAGGCCGAATGCTGCATTGCGGCGGATGCTGGGTGCGTTGCGCGGGCTCGAGAGGAGCGACGAGGGTTCATGGCGGTGGGCGCATGCAAGACTCAGGTATTAATGGGTGCGTACAGGTGTAGAGAGGTATCGTGAGAGATATTATCAGGCCGGAGAGGACCAGCAGCGCGTGTGAGGATGGATGCGAAGCTCCTGGGGGCGAGTGGGCAAAAATCTCGGTCCTTCTGGCTCACGAACCCGCGGCGTCCAAAGGGGAGGGTTTCGAGAATTGGGGCAGGCTGAGAGCGAGCAGGAGGCAGGGAAGCAGGACTCGCGTACGGGAAGATGCGAGATCGAGCACTGCTACATGCTAGAGAGGTGCTGGTGGGCGGGAAGTGGACGAAGTCGAAGTTGACGTTGGGAGTTGAAGGCGAAAGGCGAGGATTGGAGTTTATGGAGTTTTTGGAGAAGAGCAGCCTCGCTAGTAGCTCAGTCCCCGCCCAGGGCCACGAACAGACGGCGAGACGACGGCGACGACAGGACAGGACAGGAAGATGAAGAAGATGAAGAGATGATGATGATGATGATGAGGAAGAAGAAGCAGATGCAGAGATTAAACAAGAAGAAAAAAAGAGGCTGAGGAATCTGCACGGTGGTTGACTGTGGGAGGCTTCTGTTTGCGATCTTCAGTCGCCTTGGAGGCTTCGATAAGACTCTCGCAGCGAGCACCGATGAGTTGAAGGCCCTTTTCGACGATAACAAGAGGATGAGAGAGCTAACGGTGTGCTTGATTCAATAGTTACGGCGGTGCGAGGGGGTTGTCATCATCCTGGCAGGGGAGGGAGGACTACAGGACAGACGCCAGGCACCAAACACAGAGACGTCTGGGAAAAAGGGAAGCTCTACTTCAAGGATGAGACCGAGAAGATGGATGCTACTGCTCTGGCTAGCTATGATGCTGCTTGATGCACTGGTGCTGGTGGTTGCGTCTCGTCTACGCTCGCTGAAGCTGTGGTGCGAACTCTTCTCTGGCCAAAATCTATAGCTCAGAAAGAAGACACAGGTTCCAGCTCAACAACGTCTATCTGGCCTGTTGATCTTGCCCTGCTGGTACGATGCTGTCTCTTGGAGAACGGCCGGCCTCAATGGCCCGTAATATCCATGTCTACATTCCTTACCAAGGGGATTCAATGTGAAGATGCTCCAACAGAATGATACCCACATATCCTGATGGCTGGGTATAGTGAATACTTGCTCTGGCCGGGGTGTATTTGCTGTCTGTAGCTTCCGCTGCTTTCCTAATGGAATAACAGTGCTTCTTCTCGGATGTCGACCGAATCAACAACAGGCAGAGCTTCAACTTCTACTTGAAGCTTGTGAAGGACATCCATGGGACGGTATGACCTGCTTCCAGGGCTAATACCGCACACAATCCCATATGATGCCTCTATTTCTCCGTTTCCCCGAGTGTAACTACAGCTTCATCTTCAGGGCCTTTTCAATCTGTTGCTGGAGTGTCTCCCACAGATTCAGGGCTACCAGAAGACCGGGGAAGAATAGCACCATACAGATGTAATAGGGAGAGAGATAGAAAGAATAGAACCAGCAGGATACAAGAAGGCATACAGATAGCCGAAGAAGAGGCATGTTTTCCGGTGACTTTGAGTAGAGCTGGGCTTGGGGATATAATATTCAATTAATATAGGCTGCTCGTAGACCAAACCTCCCGACATTGCAACATCACCACCACCACCACCATCTTAAATATCTCAACCCTGCCACACTCCGCTTACCATCACCTGCCCCCTCCCCCATCTTGCTGTCCCTATCCCCATCCCTCGACCCTTTCTGTCTTGTCTTGTCTTTTTCTCCTCGGTTGCCGCCAGCTTCGCCTATCAACCGCGTCTGCCACTGGCTTCCCAAAGAGGCTAGCGTCGAGACATCCAAAAAGCGAGCAGCGAAGAAGAAGAAGAAGAAGAATCTCAACTTCACCCGCTTGACGAGACGCCGACGAGCCTGAAGAGCGACGATACTCGATATTCCGGAGACTCACGGCCAGACGACCTGACAGCCTCCAGCTCCCTCCCTCCCGCCCTTTGTCCCCTTTTCCCCCGGTGGTGTCTTCCGCCTGCCGAGCATCTCGCTTCGATTCTCCGTCACCTCGTCCACTGTGCCAGCAACGGCAACGCCCAGCTCGCAGCAGTCCGCCTCTGTTCAGATAGCAAGCGTGGTTTGGTAGGTCTGGGCAGACGGCCTCATGCTCTCTTTGCATGCTTCTCTGCCGGATTTTCTATGCTGGCTGTTCGTGGTGGACATTGATGCTGACCGTGACAAGGCCGGATAGTTGTCATATTGGGCATCCACTCAACTACCACATATCACGCCCCATTCACCTGAACCAAAGTCGATAGAGACGAGAGACGAAAGAGACACAGGCAGACAGGATTGTAGGACCGAGTCTTCTACGTTTGCTCCCACTCTGCAGCCTGCAGGACGCACCATGGCTGCCACTCTGAGTACGTCGACGGCTCTACCACTCAAAACTAGGGGTTGGACTTGACATATTTTTATATATGCATAGATGGCTGTTCTGGAACTACGCTGACGATTGATGAATCCTCGACAGGCGGGGCGTACACCTCTGCCCCTGATACCCCGTCTCCTATCTTCCCTGAGCGGCTCATCCGTCCGCTGCCAAAACGGCCTCTGCGCTCTCGGCTTTCCTCAGATGCTGCAGACACCATTCTCTACCCACCGTCACAGCCAACCACACAGCTTTTCTACGGTTCATACTCGACCACGGGTGATTCCCTCAACGATGCAAAGGTCTACGTGCAGCGTAACGTCTACGGGTACGAGCATAACGCCGATGATGACGGAGATCATGACCATGATACTCACCACCACCACCACCATCACCACCATCATCATCACCACGATCACCACCACGATCATGATCATGATCATGACCACGACCACGACAACGACCATGACCACCATCACTACGAAGACGGTGCAGAGTCTGGCGAAGATGACGGTCCAGTGGCTGTTAGGAGAAGTGTAGGGCTTCAACGAGCTTCCGCACCACCTACAGTGGGGAGTGCAAAAGTGGCCTCGAATGGTGCCCAGGACGGATACGATGCATTTGAAAATACAAATAATAAAAAGAAAAGGAAAATACCTACATCTGGTGGGCTGGGGTGTCACTCTAGCCTCTCTTCTGATATTGCCAGTCTCTCCTGCAGCGGGGGGAGCGGTGCTTCAATCTCGGTGGACGACGGTAGCGGACAGGGTTCCTACTATGGTTCCGGCAATCCTGCCTCCCCCATTGGAACTTCTGGTATGTCGGGTAAAGGACGGTACGGCCGGAATGGCCCTGGTCGCGGTGCTACTGCCAGACAGCCCCTTGCTGCCCATTCGCCCAATACGTGGTCGACCGGGAGACGTCATGATAGCGCCCTTTCTCAGGAAAATTTTGGTATTCACTTCAATTACCTCCTGTTAACTATGATTACTATTAGCATGTTCACTGGAGAAAAGCGTATTCTAACCTTTTTTTTTTTTTAACAGAACCAGGCAAAGATCAAGGAATAATTTCTGCTGCAATAGCCAATGCTGCCGCCGCCCTGTCATCCAACCCTCAAGGCCAAAAGAATGTCAGTTTGCTCGACCAGACAAAACGGTCAGCTCCTGCAAAAACGCAATTCACGTTTACCTGCGAGTCGGACTCTTCACGGGGTATGGCGTGGCAGTCCGCACATCCCTACTCACTTCCCGAACATCACCGATCCGTCACTCAACCTCCCTTGCCTGGCCAACGAGGCTTCTCCACCCAGGGCACTCAGACCAGTCCCAACATGGCCACCCAGGCAAACCACCAGCAGCAGCAACAGGCCCGCCAACAGCAGCAGCAGCAACAACAGCAGCAGCAGCCGCCGGGGCAGGCTCAGGCTCCTGCTCCACCGCCTCGGAAACCTCGCAGGTCAGCTCGTGCAATATATACACAAGCTGCTCGCCAGCGGCGCATTCAACAGCAGATTACCAATCTTCACCACCCACCTGACCTCGAGAGTATCTGGATATGTGAATTTTGCGAGTATGAAAGCATCTTTGGCCATCCTCCCGAGGCTCTTATCCGACAATACGAAATAAAAGACCGGAAGGAGCGCAGAAGATTAGCTGAGAAGCGTCGTTTGCTTGAGAAGGCCAAGATGAAGGGCCGAAAGGGGAAGAAGGGAAGCAAGAATGCTGCAAAACATCAGAATACAGCCGCAGCCCATGGTCAAGGACAAGCCCAGGCTCACGGTCAAGTTCATGGCCACGCGGATCGAGCTCCTCACCCTAATGACCAGAGTATTCCCCCCGATCTTGAAGAGTATGACGAAGAGTATGAAGATGACGGACATGAAGATATACCCACCGACGCGGCTCCTCGCATTCCGCCTTCAATTCCAAAGCAGCATCATCCTCCCTCTCCACCAAATTCAGTGCAAGATAGTACTGGCGGCGGCGGTGGTTCTGGTGGGCAGTTAGGTAAGGGTTCCGCCTCAGCTGCCGCTTCTGGGGGAGGAGGAGGAGGTTCAGGCCGAGCGGGCTGACTGTCAATTCTCTCCGAATTTTCACCTCGGTGTGGTTCCCTTAGTTTCCTCCTAACCAGTCTGTTTTATGTCTCTCTCCTCTCTCTGTCAATCTTTCTGTATGTCTTCATTTTCCCCTCCCTTTTTCTTCCCAAGTTTACATCCTGATGCATCCCTTATCCACCATTATTCATAATGCACCTTCTGGCTTTTCAACATTTTATTACCTTTTATCCCCTATCAATATCACCCCTTGTCCCCTAACTCCCTTTCGTTACCCCCCCTCATCAACAAATCAACAGATATGAGCGTCATGTCGATATGTCTGAGTCCCTTTCCCCTATTTCCCATTTGTTTCGAATCCATTCCATCCCATCATAACGTCCCCACTCTATCCTTACCTTTACTTCATAACAATACATTCCCCTCCCGCCTTCCTTACCCCTTGCCTCGTCTTTTTTGGAAGCATACTGCGTTATGCATGTAACCTGCATGATATAGCGCTCTTGGAAGCGTTGATTCTTTGTTTCTGAGATATGATTGTCATCCTGTCTGTCAGTGGGACAGTCAGGACGCGGTGGTTTGCTGAGAAAAGAGAAGCTTACCCGCTGTTCGGTTACCAGCAGCTTAGTACCAGGCCGTACGATGATACTTTTGCTATGGCTTCACTATGCTGATGAATTCCGAGAGTTACTGTCTGGTGGCAGTTGAATTGAGAGTTTGCCCTGCTAGTGTTCAGGCTGTGGTTTGATGGATGCCAGCAGTGTCTACCTAGATACACACACACACATTACATTACACGATGGAAGATGGTAAATAGAAAATATCAAAGACATACTTCTTCCCTCGCCGGCTTCTTCTACTCTGTAACTCGCCTTGTCCATCCATATCCCGTCATCCCTGAAACGTCTTAAGTGGGCACGGCGCTTAGAGCAGCAGTTCTTCACTCTAGCCGCCGGTGCGGGTTTTTATGATAAATATAGCATGAAAGTTTGAACCATGTCTATAGCAAACCAAATATACAGTCCCTTTCACCTGACTGGCCGTCGTCCCGTTCCTGGGCGCTAAATGAAGCTGGCGTTTAACTGTCCAGCTACCCCTTAACCACCGACAAGATCGCCTCCTATCCAATCCATCTTCCTCCGTTGAGCGAACCTCCAACTTGCTCCAGCCCGTTTCTGTACACTAACTAAAACCTTGAAGTCCTCGAAGGCAGCTCCATCACGAAACATCCGGCATGATGTTTCATCGTCTCTGCCTTGTAGTTATTTGATTCGAGCATGGGATTATACAACCCCCCTGAGATACCATGCCTCGGCGGCACTTTTGCTGCTATCTTTGGCCCATGGCCATGTAGATGGAAGACCCATCGAAGAAATAGGAGAGGACAGAGCATGAAGGAAGCAGATGTACATATAAAGCGTCTGCTGTCCTCGATATCAAATCCTCCTTTTCTTCCTATTCAGCGTTAATCAACCAGGACATCCCCAATTCACCGGTCTTTCCCCCCTTTCTCTTTCCTTTTTATTTTCTCTTTCTTTTCCTTGTGTTCTCTCTCTCTCTATTCTTTCATTTATCTATTGCCCAGTCTCCATTCATTCAACCTGCTGTGTTGTCTATTTATTCCTTCACTTCATTCAATCAAACCCACCAGGTGGTGCAGCGCACTGCTTCCTTCCTACATATATTCATTACTTGCAAAAGAGTCCTGCTTCTGTGAAGCCAGCGCATATCGACTTAATATCGAACGTCTTTTTCCTGCCTTTATTTATTCGCTAGAAGCCCTGAAGACAACAGTTATAGCCAGTCTATAGCCTCCGTTCTTCGTCTACCTCTTCGATACACCTGCATCAGCTCATCGGCCAAATACACCCACACACCAACCAAGCAAGCCACCGATACAGATTATCAACATGTTTGTTGCTGGACTTCTTCTCAAGGGCATCAAGAGCCGCTACTCTACTGGCTCCATTATCGGAACGCTGTTTGAATGCTGTATCCGATTCCTGCAGTTCGTCTTTGGCATCGCTGTCATCGGCTTGTATGCGCAAGACGTCGACCGGGCCAGGAAACACGGTGACAGCCAGGACTCACGATGGGTTCGTTTTCCTTATTTTACTTGAGAGACATGATATCGTATTCTAACAGTCTTATAGATCTTTGCAACCGTCGTTGGCACACTATCTGCTATCTCTGGACTTGTTTACATCCTGATCCCCTGCGCCGTCCGACGACCTCTATCCCAAGCAACTTTCATCCACCTGCCGTGCTTCGTCTACGACAGCGTCCTAGTCATTCTCTGGCTGACGCAGTTCGGCATCTTCGCAAAGCTGTACATCACCGTCGACGATGACAAGGACAAGAGCCTCAAGCGCATGAAGCACTCTGCCTACGTGGACCTGGTCAACCTGTGCTTCTGGGCCATCACCTGTGCTTGGTGTGGTATTCGCTGGTGGAGAGGAAACAAGGCCGGTGGTGTTCAGAAGGAGGAGAAGGCCTTTGATGAGCATATCGAGCAGGTTTAATCGTTCTGTCTACCAATCTGCCTATTTTTGAAGAATATTTCCTTCCAACACTCGTTTGGGGATGTGCCGGTTCTCCCCTGTATGGATGGCATGGCGCATTCCTTCTTTCGTCTCCAAGCACAGTCATGTCGTTGTTGTTCCTTTTCTCTTCCTGATATTTTTCATTCTTT